AGGTGCTTGCTGGGCTGTTTGTGAGCACAGTCCTGGCAGTGGCTCTCAGATCACACCTATTTTTTCCCTGTGATTGTTTTTCCAAAGCCGACTCCGGGGATGGAAAGAGATGCTAAATCTAAAAAGCTGCTGTTTCCGGAAAACTCTTTCCTTTCCTTGGGAAGAATGAAATGTGACGTTGGCAAGGAAGTCTCCAAACAGCCGCTGGTGTCCAGGAAGCTGCTGGACTTGCACAGCTCCAGCAAAGGCTGGGGGCCATGCAGAGCCATGGCTGGTGAGCACTCACTGCAGGGCCAGTGCACTGCAGTTTCATCCCTGAGCTGGCCCCAGGATCCATCCGTGCTCCCCCCTGCACGGGCAGGACCCCCTGGCAGGGCTGAGCCTTCCCCCAGCAGCCAGCAGGCAAATGGAGCCCTAAGGAGGTGCTGGAAAGCCGAGTCTGGGCTCCAGATTCTCCTCCTTGGCAGTGAGAGCCCGAGGGAGAGCATCTGCTTCCATCTCCGAGCTGGTGGGAGCAGGGCTGCAGTTAAATCTGGCAATGAGAGCAGCAGGGGCTCAGGCTGGGCCCCAGTGCCCCACGTGGCACTGCCAGCTCTCCTGCAGCTCTGTCCACTCCAGCAGCGAGACCAAGGGGGCCAGGAAGGGGCCAGGGCATCTTTCTATGGGGCTTGGGTTTCGTAGCCAAAGTTTTGCCCAGAAGCAGAACATGCTGCACAGACAGGCTTTGAGAGGAGGGGACAAATGGGACATCTGCCTCTGCTGGGGTCCCCTGCAGCTCCAGGGCTGAGGGTGTGAGGGATGTAAGGGGTTAAGGGATCAAGGATGCTGCTGGAGCCGTTTCTCAGCGTTCAGGAGCTGCCAGCTGCAGTTTGGTGCAGCTCAGAGGATGCGATGTCAGATCCCCAGGGCGGCTTGGGGGACACGGCCCTTCAGCTGCCACATCCCCCTCCTGATCCCATCCCATCCCCATTCCCATCCCCATCCCCATCCCCATTCCCATCCCCATCCCCATCCTCATGCCATCCCATCCCCATCCCCATCCCCATCCCATCCCATCCCATCCCTATCCTCATCCCCATCCCATCACATCCCATCCCCATCCCCATCCCATCCCATCCCTATCCTCATGCCATCCCATCCCCATCCTCATCCCCATCCTCATCCCCATCCCATCCCATCCCATCCCATCCCCATCCCATCCCCATCCCCATCCCATCCCATCCCATCCCATCCCATCCCATCCCATCCCATCCCTCCCCACCCCGCTCCAGCCGTGCCGGTTCCCGGAGCCATCCCGGGCTGGGCGGTACCGGGGCCGTGCCAGGCTGTGCCGCCGCTCTCAGAGCCAGCCTCGCCCGCAGGAGCGCGGGAGGGCGGCACGGGGGACGGGCCGGGGCTGTCCCAGCCCAGCTGCCGTGCCGCGACGCCACCGAGCCCACGCGGGTCCGGTCGGATCGGGCTGAGCGCTGCCCGCCGCCCCCGCGGGACGCTCCGGAGCTGGAGTCGCTGCCGATGGTACCGGTGCGATCCCCCCGGCTGGGGCCGGGGCGGTGGGCAGGGCTGAGGTGGGCTCAGAAGGGGCTGAGGTGCCCTGGGAGGGGGCTGAGCTGGGCTAGGAGAGGGCTGAGGCGGGGTGGCAGAGCCGCTCTGTGCCCGTGCGAGGCGGGGCTTTCTCTGTCACTGCCCCTGCGCTGCCAAACAGCCCCAGGATAAAGCTCAGCGTGCCCGGGCGGTGAGTTGGTAACTAAACACGGGCTGCGGGAGGCGTGGGGAGGCGCCTTTGGAGCGGATAAATAGAACGGGACAGAGCTCGGGGTGCGCTCCGCGTCCTGCTGGGGCTGCGCTGGCCCTGGGCAGGCGGGGAGGGCGACAGGGACCAGCCCGGCTCCAGGTACGGCATTTGGGGTGTGCCGGGAGCGGGGACAGGATCCCGGACGTGCTGGAGCTTCCCAGGGCAGCCTCGTTTGCTGCCAGCCCAGCTCCCAGCACCCAGGGGTTTGGGGTTGGGTTTTCTTCCGTGGCTTCAGCTATTTCTGCTTCTCTTCAGCTATTTCTGTGCCTCTCTATTTCTGTGTTTCACCTGGCCGGGGGTGGTTGGGGTTTAGTGATTTCCGAGTGTTGATGGTGACACAGAGAAAGAGGTTTTTGGGAGCCAGCGCACATTTCCAGGGGGCAGCCTGAGTCACCACGTGGGGCTGGAGTGGCTCCCCTGCATGGACAGGTCCCCATCCCTCAGGGGGGGTTTCAGTCCCACCCCGAGGGCTCCCCAAGGCTGAGCTCCAGCCCCTGCCATGGTTGGAGATGTCCCTTAGGGGGACAGGGCTGTGCTCTCCTGCAGGGATGAGCCCAGGGCTGGGTGGACGGGGATCCTCCTCCCTGCAGGACACAGAGCATGACCCCGTGGGGACAGTGACCTGCTGGCTGTCCCTGTTGCTGCCCAGGACTCCGCAGAAACGCCCAAAGGCCACCAGGGCGATGTTTGAGCTGTGGAACTCACCTGGTGACAGCGCCTTTGGTGCTCGTGATCAGCCCAAGAGAAGGGAGAGAGAGCTGGGGGTGTCCCCAGCCCTGGGGTGGTGTCCCCACCATTCAGGGTGGTGTCTCATGTCTCAGTGTTCCCCCCTGCCCATAAGGATTAGGGAAGGGACAGCCCTGGAGGAGGTGACAATTTCCTTGTGCGCTCCTGGGCCCGGTAAATGGGATCCCTGCTTGGGAGGAAGGAGCCTCAGTGGGACGAGCAGGGGGAGGATGGAGAGGTGAGAGGAGGCAGAGGCTGAAGGATCCCACAATGGGACAGAGCTTCACCTGGGATTGGCTGGGCTGAGGTGGAGCTCTGGTACAAACTGCTCTGACCCTGGGCCCCCAGGCTGCTGCCCTGCAGAGGAGAGGCTGAGGAGGCTTTGTGGGGTGCTCAGTACCCTGTGCTCAGCCAGGTCAGTTTGGAACAGGAGAGTTCCCTTTAACCCTGCAATTCCCTTTAATTCATGAATTTATCTGCCAGGATCCAAGGAGAGCTGCACTTTCACTGCCATGTCCTGCATTTTTAAGACTAGAGCCAGGTGTTCCCCAAAACTGCCCCAAACTCTTAGGGGAGGTGGCTTTGGGGTAATTTGGGATTTTTGTCCCACGAATCTCAGGATTATTGAGGCCTGAAAGCAGAATTGAAACTCTTCTTCTTCTTGCCCTTCCTTTTTCATTTTTTTTCCCTGCAAAAGGAATAAAATCCAGCTGATGCCATGGGTATTTTAAGAATTGCAGGGAGGAAGCAGAGATTTGCAGCTCTGCAGAGAAGTGGGATGAATGCAGAGAAGGCTCCGGTCTTGCTGAGCTGGCAGACAGCAGAACACCCGGGGATGGATGAGTTGTGCCTCATGCCTGCTGCAGGGGATGAGGGGAATGAGGGGACAGAGGGCACAGAGCCCTCCTGGTGTGGGCCAGGGAACCTTCCCAGCCTTCCTGGAGCAGGGAGGGGCTCCAGGGAAAGGGGCTGAGTCCAGCAGGGGCTGGGACCAGCTCAGGGTCCATGCCCAGAATTGGGGACAGCTCCCATTCCTGGGGTCAGAGATGCTCTCAGGAGGGCTGAGGCACACAGAGAGGCTGCCTGGAGGGGAGCTCAGGTGCCCAGAGCCCTTCGTGTGGGCTGGCATCATCCCTGCTGCCCTTCTGGGTCTGCAATGGGCACAGCAGGGCTGAGGGGCTGTGCCCCCACCCTGGGGAGCGCAGCAGGCAGAGAACATCCAGGGAAAAGGGGGAATTTCTGCTAGTTTGGGTTCCTGTGCTGGTCAGGAACATCCGCATGAAAAGGGGAATTTCTGCTCCTTTGGGTTCTTCTGCTGGTCAGAAACGTTCCCAGGGAAAAGGGGAATTTCTGCTTGTTTGGGTTCCTGTGCTGGTCAGAAACATCCCCATGAAAGGGGCAATTTCTGCTCGTTCGTGTTCCTGTGCTGGTCAGAAACATTCACAGGGAAAAGGGGAAATTTCTGCTCGTTTGGATTCCTGTGCTGGTCAGGAACATTCCCAGGGAAAAGAGGGAATTTCTGCTCCTTTGGGTTCCTGTGTTGGTCAGGAACATCCCCATGAAACGGGGGAATTTCTGCTTGTTTGGGTTCCTGTGCAGGTCCTGGCCAGGGAGAAGCAGTGGCTGGAGCTGGCCGGACCCTGCCTGACCCCAGAGTTCCTCAGAGCCTGTTCCTGTTGTGTCCTCTCCTCCTCCCCTCCCACAACTCCTGCCTGTCCCCCGGACAGTGTGACTGGTTCTGAGCCTGCTGGGGACCTGTTTGATCTCTTTTTGTTGGATTTTCCCGGGACACCCAAGCACTGGGAGCAAGCCGTGCACTGAGGGCTCAGCCTCAGCTGCTCTCTGCTGCCGGGGAGCAGAAGGAGCCCTTTGGGGCAGGCAGGTGAAGCGGGGAGCGGCGTTTCTCGGGCTCACGTTGCTCTTGGCTAAATTTGGAAGCTGTGGGAGGCCGGCAGCGCCCGCCCCCGCAGCGCCAGGAGGATGCGGATGTGGGGAGCCACCGACACCTTGGGCCGCACTCAGCGAGCGGCTGCTTCCTCCGGCAGCGCCCAGAGCAGCCGGCCCGGGCCGGGGGGCTCCGGGCTCCGGGGGTGTCCGTGCTCCGGGGAGCGCCGAGCTCCGGGGGTCTCCGAGCTCCAGGGGTCTCACAGCTCCGAGGGTCTCACAGCTCCAGGGGTCTCACAGCTCCGGGGTCTCCGAGCTCCGGAGGTCTCACAGCTCCGGGGGTCTCACAGCTCCGGGGGTCTCACAGCTCTGGGGGGCTCTGAGTTCCGGGGGGCTCCGAGCTCCGGGGGGCTCCGAGCTCCGGGGGTCTCACAGCTCCGGGGAGCGCCGTGCTCACCCAGCAGCTCCAGCCCCGGGACTGGCAGTGCCAGCAGCCCCGAGCTGGGCATTCTCCCCCAAACACCGCCCGTGCTCCCCTCGGGCTCTGTCCTGGTCCCACGGGGTCCCATGGGGTCCCAGGGTGTCCCAGGGGTTTCCACGGGGTCCCAGGGGGTCCCGGCCCCTTCGTGCTCCCCCGGCTCACCCTGAGCCCGCTCTGCACCCACCTGAGCCCGCTGTTCCCGTTCCCTGCAGGGCCATGCCCCAGCGCCGTGAGCGGCCCCGCGCTGGTGCCCCAGGAGCTGCAGCCCGGCCCGGCCATGGACAGCTCAGGTGCGTGATGCTGAGCCCCGTGCGGGGAGGGGGAGCTGGGGAATCCCCCTCAGCCACCCCTTACACCCCTGCCCTCTGTTCAAACACCGGGTGCTGCCCAAGGTGCTGCCGGGTGCTGCTGGAAGGTGGGAAATGAGCACAGAGCAGTGCAGGGGCACTCACAGCTGACAAAACATTTGAGTTTTAAAGTAGTTCATTTAATAGTAGTATATTTTATTTTAATTTTTTATTTGATAGTAGTAATTTTTTATTTTATAGTGGTATATTTTATTATGATTTTTATTTTATATTTTATAGTAGTATATTTTATTATAATATATTTTTTATTTTATAGCAGTAGATTTTATTATTTTTATTTTATAGTATTATATTTTACTATTATTATTCTTTTTTATTTTATAGTAATATATGTTATTATAATTTATTTTTTATTTTATAGTAGTAAATTTTAAAATTATTATTATTATTTAATTTTATAGTAGTATATTTTAGGGTTTTTTATTTTATAGTAGTATATTTTATTTTTTATTTTATAGTACTATTCTGTGTGTGTGTGTGTGTGTGTGTGTTTATTCCAGTCCATTCCCCCCATGTTTCATTTTCACGCTGTTTCAGAGGTGCTGTTGATCTCTCAGGGTCAATGCTGAAAGGTTTTATTCCATTTCCAAGCCCCTGCTCTTTGTTGCTGGGTTTATTTTTCGCTGTTTTTAGATCAAAGTGCCTCTTGTTTGTGCTGGGTCGGACTCTTTGCTGTGCCCCGTGAGGGACCCTCGGCGCTGGGGCTGCTTTGATGAGCAGGAGAAGCCAGGGCTGAGAGCGAAGCTCAGGAAAAGCCTCCCCTGGTTACAAACACTCACAAAGGAAAAGAGCAGCACATTTCAAACAGCCCTTTGAGGCGGAATTCCCAAACCAATAAACAGGAGAGGGACATGGGGAGCTTCCCAAAATCCCTGAGGGGAAACCAAGGGTGAGGAAAGAGCAGTTTCTGAGACATTTCTCCAATAACACCTCCTAAACGAGAGTCCTGGGGGTGTTTTTGTGCCGTGGCAGGGATGGGGCTCCCTGTGCACACACAGACCTCAGCAGGGCAGCACTGCTGGCCCTGAGCCTGGGTCTGTTCTGCAACACAGCCCCAAAGTCATTCCCAGGCTCTGCTGCTGGAAAGGCAGCAGAGCCTGCATCCAAAGGGGCATTTCTGAACAGTTCACACTTATCTGTGAGCCAAAAGTGAGATTATGGCCAAATGTTTAACTCTCTCTGCTTCAAAAGATGGCTGAGGGATCTAACAGAGAGCCTGCAAGAATTTGAGGCATCAAGTTCAGCACAGCCAGCCCAGCTGGGAGCGGCAGGCTGGGCCTGTGCTTGCTCACAGAAAGGGATGAAGAAATCAGTTATTTCATTAACCACATCCACGAGGCAATGATATCACGTTTAAGGTGATATAATGAAGAGAAAGTTCAGCTTTTTATCCTCTGCACACCTGTAAAGAGGAGCAGGCTGCCAGGAGAAGCTCTGGAAGGCAGGGGGTGAGACAGGCTGGAGTGAGACAGGCAGGCAGAACCTCCCAGGTTGGATGGCACTTCTGGAGTTCTGTGTCACTCTGTGTCACTCTGGGTCACTCTGTGTCAGTCTATGTCACTCTGTGGCACCTCCCGACCCGCTCCAGCAGCCCTGGGCACAGCTCTGCAGTTTCCATCACAGCTCTGAGGGCTCGGAGGGCTCTGATGCTGTGGGGAGGGCTCTGTCCGGGCTCTGTCCGGGCTCTGTCTGGGCTGTCCCCGGGCTCTGTCTGGGCTGTCCCCCCCCCACCCCCGGGGGTGCTGTCCCTGCTCAGGTGTCGCTGTCCCTTGCAGAGCTGGAGTCGGACATCCTGCGGCGGGTGCGGGCGCTGCTGCGGGAGCTGGACGGGCACCACCCGTCCTGCCAGAGCGACCGAGGTGAGCACTGCCCCTGCCCGGGCACAGCGGGCACCGCCTGCCCCAGCCCCGCCTGCCCCGGCCCCGCTCCTGCCCCAGCCCCGCCTGCCCCAGCCCCGCTCCTGCCCCGGCCCCGCTCCTGCCCCGGCCCCGCCTGCCCCGGCCCCGCTCCTGCCCCGGCCCCGCTCCTGCCCCGGCCCCGCTCCTCCCTTCTTCCCTGACAGCGGGACACGGCAGCTCCGCTCATTCTTCATCAGCTGCATCCGTGCCCCAGCAGTGTCTGTCACCCTGTGTCACCCTGTGTGACCGTCACCCCTGCAGCCCCACCCCGTCTGTCCCCCCTCAGGAATGCTGCGCTGGACCCTGCACAAGAGAATGGACCAGAACCCCAGAACCAGCTGTGTCCTGGTCAGCATCCTGGTGAAGGAGCTGGAGAGGGTGAGTGCCACCCCAGGAGGGGACAGTGCCACCCCGGGGAGGGGACAGTGCCACCCCAGGAGGGGACAGCCACCGCGGGGAGGGGACAGTGCCACCTCGAGAGGTGACAGTGCCACCCTAGAGAGGGGACAGTGCCACCCCAGGGAGGGGACAGTGCCACCCCGGGGAGGGGACAGTGCCACCCTACAGAGGGGACAGTGCCACCCCAGGGAGGGGACGGTGCCACCCCAGAGAGCCTGGCCCACGCTGGGGGCTCTGGGGCTGCTGTGCCCAGCGCAGTGAGCTGACTGTGCCCACCCTGCCTCTGCTCCCACAGGCAGAGCGAGGGGACCTGCGGCACTACATCATCCCCCTGCTGCACACGCTGATGTACACCTTGATCCAGGTGAGGGAACAGCCTGGGGCAGCACCCGGGGACAGCAGGGCACAGGAGAGGCCACCTGGAGCCACTCAGAGCCAGCAGAGCCCTGGGACGGCCCTGGGCGGGCTCAGCTGGGCATCTCCCGTGTCCCTGTGGCACAGGGAGGGCACTCCCATGTCCCTGTGGCACACGGAGTGCCAGACTCTGCCTTTCAGTGCCTGCAGGAAGCCACAACCTGGAAAAGCAAATGTGTGCCCAGGCTCCAGTGGGCATTGCTGGAGGCTCCCAAACCCCTGCAGGGCCTGATTCTGCCCCACATTTTGCATTTAAATCCAGAGTGAATGCTGTGCAGTGAGTTTGGTGCCCTCCCAGCCCGGGGGCTGTACTGGGGCAGATTCAGGGGTCACTGCCTGTCGCCTCCCTGTCACCTCCCTGTGCCCCTGCAGGCTCCCTGCATCCCTGACGAGCTCTGTGCCAGGGTTTATGACTTCTGCAAGAGGCTGCTGACCCTGCCCAAGCCCTTCTGCACCATCGGGCTGGACTATGCCAGCAGGCTGCAGCTGGAGAGGGCAGCCCCAGGTAAGGGGGGCTGGCAGGGCTGATCAGCTCTAAAGCAGCCCCGTGGGCACTGAGGTGTCACTGGGGCTGCAGGGAACACCTGGCTTCTTTTTTCTCTGTGTTCTTTTGCTCTGCTCTCATTAAAGATCCTCCAGTTCAGGTTTTCTTTTATAGGAGCCTTTCAAACAATCCTTTAGAGCAGAGCAGGGTGCAGACACCCTGTGAGGGGCAGGGGAAGCAGGACAAACCTGCTGGGGAGTTTTGATGTCCTTCTGGGGAGCCTCAGCCCCCCCCAGCAGCCCCAGCTCTCCTCCCCAGCACTGCTTTGGCTCCAAAGGGCACCTTTGTGTCCCCTGAGCTTGGGTGCAGGGGTGGCTCAGGGTGCACAAGGGGAATCTCCAGCAGGGCTCCCCTGGGGCAGCACGGGGATCCCAGGGGGATTGTCCCTGAGCCAGGGCAGGGATGGAGCCTCAGCCAGGGCAGGGCAGGGCCTCTCTCCTAATCCAGAATCCCCTGGTGCTCCTCACATGTCCCCAGACACCGTCCCCACGTGGCCCTGGGGACAGAGCTCTCCCTCCTGCCTGCATCTCCGCTGCTTCTAATGCCCCAAACAAAGGAAGGGAAACACAGGAAATCACCCGGAACACACGGGGGTTTCTTTTTCGGGAGCCTGGGCTATCTTTGTCCCGGGCTGTTTTTATCTCTGGCCCAGCTCTTGGCTGTTTGAGCTGAGCTCAGCGGGTGTTCCCCGCCTTGGCAGAGCCTCCTCAGGCTGCGGAGCCGGGAGCAGCCCGGGCTGGCTGCCCCAAGGCTGTGCTGCTCCTACCGAGTGTGTCTGTGCTTCGCAGGGACCCTGTACCAAAGGATGGTCATCTCCGAGCAGAGCCTGCACAGCGCCGCCTTCCCCTGCCAGGAGAGGTGAGTGCTGCCCTGGGGTGGGCTGTGCCCCTTCCCCTGCCTGGAGAGGTGAGTGCTGCCCCTTGGAAGGGGCTGTGCTGTCATTTCGGGGTCTCTCAGGGAACCCCGTCCTTTCCCAGCACTCTTGGTTGGAACAGCCACCCTGGGGCTGAGCCTTGTGGCCTTGGGGACACTGGGATTGCATCAGGGGGACACATTCTGCTGTGTCCCGATTATTCTGGGAGGCAGGGAGCTGCCCTCGGGGGGCACACAGGGTGGAGAAGGGGAACAGCAACAATGGAAAAAGTGAGATGTGAGATGTGAGATGGGAGCTGCTCCTGCCAGCCTGGGGTCTCTGATGTGAGGCTGCATCTCCCCCTTTCCCGCGCAGGATTTTCATCTTTGCTGACCCTGAGCTGCTGCCCGAAGCCATCTGCAGGGCTCTGGCCGTGGACACCGAGGCTGCCCAGGTGTCGCAGAGCCCGCGGGGCTGCATGAGCTGCGTGGTCACCCACGCCCTGCAGGCGGCCCTGGGGGACACCTGCGACACCCCCGGCCTCCGGGCCCGCCTCCAGGTACTGCAGCAGCTCCTCCTCCCCTGCTCCCCTGCTCCTGCTCTGCACACTCTGGAGATGCAAAAGGTGTTTTGGCAAGTGGAGAAACCCCCAGCTCCCCAGTGCTGGTGGCAGCCCCAGAGCTGAGCTCAGACACCCTTCGGATGGAAAGCAGCAGAGCCAGAGGTGGAACCTTCAGTCTCAGTGCTGGTTTTGCCCAGCAAGGCTGAGACAGAGACTCTGTCAGCTCCTCTGGGAGCCCTGGGCACTGCAGGAACATCTCAGGGGAAAGGTTTCAGTCAATCTTCTGCAAACCCTCCTGGAAGGAGCTGTGGGGCTGCAGTGGCACCAAAGTCTGCCTCAGAAACTGCAGGGGCTCTCAGCAATTTCCCCTCCAAGGTCACCTCCGTGTGCCTGCTGTCCCCATGTCCCGAGGGTCACCCAGGTGCCAGCACTGCTGAGGATGCCCCAGGTGCCCTTCAGCTGCCAAGCTGCGCCCAAAGGAGCTGTGAGCAGCCAGCACAGCCAGCGTCTCTGCTGGGGACAGGAGGACATTGGTGTCCCCAAGAATCACTTTCTGCAGGACTTGTTCTCCCTGCAGGGATCACTCTCTGCAGGACCCGTTTGCTCTCCCTGTCCCTCCCGCTGCCCTGGCCGAGGACCATTCCTGTTTCCAGGCGCTCACAGCCCCTGTCCCCACAGGCCCTGCCCCCGGGGGACCTGGAGCACTGGTTCCAGCAGGTGGTGGCGGCCGTGGAGGGCAGCGAGGGGGGCTCAGAGCGGGGCCAGCACACGGCGCGGCTGGAGAGGATCTACCACGGCCTTATGGGCTCCTCTCCTGCAGGTGAGCCCAGGCAGATATTCCCAAGGGACAGGGAGCCCTGGTGTCCCCTGTGTCCCTGTGTCACTCCTGCCCGTGGCCCAGTTTCCATTTCTCCCTCCCAGCATTGCTGCAGACACTCAGTGATGGCTCTGTGAGAGCAGGGGCCCTCTAGTCTCACATCTGGCCTCACCCCAGGAGCTCTGGGCTGCGAGAGCCCCAGGGCTGCCCCAGCCAGTGCTCAGCACTGGGGCTCGTGCTCCTGTGTGGGGAAATGCCCCAAGCATCCTTGTTTTCCCAGGGAATGATCCCCAGGAAGGGCTGCAGGGCACTCCTCTGCCCAGCCCCAACATCAGCTTCCACCTGTGGACAGAGGATGAGCAGCTCTGTGAGTGCCCCGGGGGTGCAGGGGGTGTCTGAGCCTGGGGGTCCTGTCCCAGAGGGGTCACTGAGCCCTGACCCTTGGGCAGGGAGTTTGGGCACCACTGTGCCGGAGCCAGGCTCGTGGAGATGGGTCTGACTGCCCCTGGCCTCCTTCTGGGTGAGGAGGAGGGGGAAGGAGCTGAGGCTGCTGCAGGAGGTGCCAAGAGCACCTGTGGGTGCCCCTGGCAGTGCTCAGAGCGCCTGTGGGTGCCCCTGGCAGTGCCCAAGGCCAGGCTGGATGGAGCTGTGAGCAGCCTGCTCTGGTGGAAGGGGTCCCTGTCATGGCAAGGTTGGGAATGAGGATGATCCCCAAGGTCCCCTCCAACCCGAACCAGTCTGGGGTTCTGGGGCTGGAGCAGCACCAAGATTTCCCAATGGGAGGTGGGGCTGAGGACTGGCTGCCCTCGGAGCCCTCTGCTCTGCGGGTTCTCTGAGGGGAGGGAAGCTGTGCCCCTCTGTGCCCCTCTGTGCCCCCCTGTGCCCCTGTCCCCGCTCAGGCTCCCCGTGCCCGCAGGGAAGGAGCTGGTGCTGTTCCTGCGGCCGCTGTCGCAGAGCTGCGAGCCCGAGTGCCCGGGGCAGGAGCCGGAGCCCCTGGAGATGCCGGACCCGCTGCCGGGCTGCGGCTGCTGCGGCCAGAGCCGCTTCTCGGTGCTGTCCACGGACAGCGGCATCGAGCGGGACCTGCCCGCGCCGGAGGAGCCGTGCGAGCGCTCCCGGCTGCACAGGAAGGGCGGCATCAAGAAGAAGCCGTCCCCGCTGGACAGCGTGGCCCTGCTGCAGGCCGGCGGCGGGAAGGCCCCCGGGAAGCCCCCCGGGAGGGCGGGGGTGCCCCCCGAGCCCGCGGCCCCGCTGCAGAGGCTGCACACCGCCCGCGTGGTGCTGCTGGGCGACGATCGCGTCCTGGGCCGCCTGGCACAAGCCTTCCTCTCGCTCAGGTACTGCGGGCTCGGGGGGACGGCAGCGCAGCGGGGCTTTGGGCTGTGGGAGCAGCCGGGGGGCTGGGGCTGAGGGCGGGCTGGGGCTGGGGCTGGGGCTGGGGCTGTGGGAGCAGCCGGGGGGCTGGGGGCGGGCTGGGCCTGGGGCTCGGCGGTGCCCGGGGCAGGCTCTGATCCCGTGTGCGGCTCCCAAACGCACCCGGCTGGCACCGGCGGCTCTCGGGGCCCAGGTGATGCACACAGCGTGTCCTCCCCTCTGTCCGGGGGCTGGGTTAAACAAGAAACAAACGAGACAAGGTGTTTTTCTGTGCCAAGGGAAAAATCCCACCGAGAAGCTGTTTCCCAGCTGGCTGTCCCCGGCTGGGGTGGGTGACCGTGTGGGCAGCCTGGGAGCAGAGCTGGGTGCACAGGGACACCAGGCCCTGATAAAAACTCCTCCCCATCACCTCCCTTTGCTTGATCTGGGAGCCCAGGGCACATCCCGGGAAAGGAGGCAGCGAGGGGCACAGGTGGCAGAGCAGCCACCGTGTCCTGGCACTGCCCAGCCGTGCCCGGGTGCCCCCTTCTGCCCCCGCCCTCGGGACATCTCCGTTCGCGTTTCAGGAAGCGAGAAGCCCGCAGAGTGTTCCTGACGCCCCGGCTGGACCTGCAGTTCTACCACATCCCCGTGGTGCCGGGGCAGCCCCAGCCCTCGGCGGCTGTGAGTGCCGGGGGAGAGCAGGGATCGGGAATTCCTGTCTGTCCGGGGATGGGATCGGGAATTCCTGTCTGTCCGGGGATGGGGAGAGCAGGGATCGGGAATTCCTGTCTGTCGGGGGATGGAATTGGGAATTCCTGTCTGTCCGCGGTCCCAGGCTGTGGCTGTGAGCTGTGGCTGTGAGCTGCATTTCCCCCAGGAACACACTGACCCTGAGGAGCTGTGTGAGGTGGCCGGGTACCTGGGCAGGGCTGACCCCTGGTACGAGAGCAACATCAACACCCTGGGCCACATGATCCCCAAGCTGGCCACCATGGTAGGAGGAAAACCTTCCCACGTCCTGAAAACACCTGCAGCCCCTGGGGAGGGCTCTGTGCCCTGCAGGGCTCTCCATCCCCAGGGAGATTAACCCTGCAAACCCTGAGGAGGGCTCTGTGCCCTGCAGGCCTCTCCATCCCCAGAGAGATTTCCTCTCCAAACCCTCCCCAGGCCCTGCGGGGCTCTCCATCCCCAGATATTTTCCAAACCCTCCCCAGGCCCTGCAGGGCTCTCCATCCCCAGACATTTCCCTTCCAGACCCTCCCCAGGCCCTGCAGGGCTCTTCGCCCCAGGCAGAGATTTCCCCTCCAAACCCTCCCCAGGAGGTGCCCGTGTCTGACACTGCCCCAGCCCACAAAAGCCATTTGCTGTGGTGGGGTTTTTTGATCAGAGGACAGGAAATGGCAGATTTCAAGAAAGAAACCTTGTGCTGAAATCCCCCCAGCTGTCATTTCCTGGCAGTTTGAGACACCTCTGCCAGCCCACACAGAAAGGGCTGCGAGGGGGGCGCAGCTCCCACTCCCTGTGAGTGGCAGGGCCAGAGGACAGCTCATCCCTCCCTCGGTGCCCAGGAGGGTGTGAGGCCTCGTGGCAGGGTTTCTGAGAAGTGGCAGGGCTGAGCCAGCCTGTGGTTTGTCCCCCAGCCCAGCAGGGCCCTGGTGACCGACCCGTTCCTCACCGACGTCATCGCCTACTACGCCCGCATGGGCACGCAGCCCGTCTGCTTCCAGGTGCACTCTGTCAAGGTGGGTGGCACAGCTGGCACGGGCCAGCCTCCAGCAGCCCTGCAGGGGCTGGCAGAGCTGGGCAGAGCCAGAGGGGGCTCCCAGCAGATCCCAGCCTGGGTCCCCATTCCCCAGCCCGTGACCCTGGAGCTCAGCTCAGCTGATCCCAGATTGATCCCCATTCCCCAGCCCATGATCCTGGAGCTCAGCTCAGCTGATCCCAGCCTGATCCCTGTTCCCCAGCCCGTGACCCTGGAGCTCAGCTGAGCCAGTGCCCCTGGCAGGGCCATTTGGGGATCTCAGCCCAGCAAAGGGAGCCTTGAAATCCCCCCCAGGGCTCGGGGTGCTCAGGAGCCCAGTTCCTGCTGCTCTGAATGCTGGCAGGGAGCAGGGCTCTGCTGTGCCAGCACCCCCTGTACCTGCAGGGGCTTTGCAGGGCTTCCTGCGGCACCCTTTGATGGATTTCCTGCACTCTGCACTCTGATAGCACTCTGAGGTGCTATCAGAGCAAGGGCTGGCATTTGATAGGAGAGCAAAGTGCTAAATTTGAGCATACAACATTAACCCTTCCCTCCCTGCTCCTCTGGCAGCCCCTCCAAAGCTCAGGCACAGAGCTCCTTTTATCTGCTCACTGTGGCACCTATTGCAGAGTGGCTGGGACGGGATCTCCAGGACCTGCTCTGCACATCCTGCCCACTTCAGGCCCGTGAAAGGGAAATAATCCCCAGGGTTTGGGTGAGCTGGCACTGAGGTTGGGTCAGAGAGGAACAGCGTCCCCTGAAGCTCAGCAGCGGCTCAGCCTGGCCTGGGCAATGGGAGTGACTCATCTCCGAGGGCACAGTGACATCCAGTGGCAGGGGACACTGCCCGTGGCTGGGCTGGCCAGGTCCCCGTGCCTCTGGCAAGGCTCCCCACCCTCCTGGAGCTCAGGAAATGGAGCCAGGGCAGCTCCTCACCCCACAGGGACCCTGAGAGCCAGGGTCAGCTCCCAGCCCCCTGGGGCTGCTCTGGAGAGGCTGTCCAGGGTACAAGCCTCGTGTGACACCTCAGGGTGACAGAGGAGATGTCGCCAGGGGTGTTCCTGTCAGGGCTGTGTCTCTCAGGGCTGTTCCTGTCAGGGATGTGTCCCTCAGGGCTGTTCCTGTAAGGGATGTGGAGGAACATCCCTGAGATGTTCGTGAGCATCCTCTCAGGGCTGTTGCTCCCAGGGATGTTACTCCCAGAGCTCCTCTCAGGGCTGTTCCTCTCAGGGCTGTACCTCCCAGGGCTGTTCCTGTCAGGGATGTTCCTCCTAGGAGTGTGTCTCTCAGGGCTGTCCCTCTCTTCCAGGTGCTGTTCCAGGACCCAGCCCAGGAGCCAGCTGAGGACGTGTTCCTGACGGAGCTGCTGACCCAGGTGCAGGACAGCCCCTCCCACAGAGGTGTGTGTGTCCCACCAGCCCGGACAGGGCTCCTGCCATGCCCAGGGCCCCCCTCAGCCCGCAGAGCTCCAGGCTCTGGGCAGCGCTCCTTGTTCCTGGCCAGGCCTCCCTGACCACCTCCACCAGGAGATCAGGCTGATGTGAGCCCTGGTGGCCGCTGGCTCCTGGCCCAGCCAGGGTTTGCAGTCTGAGCCTCTGGTCGGCTCCAGGGCACTCAGGAGCGGGACCTGAGCCCTGATTCAGTTGAGGAAACAAGCTGGGATTCACAGCCAGATGTTTTCCTGTTAGAAACCCAGCTCCTCCAGCTGCCAGGGATGGAGCAGGAGTCCTTGGAGGCTGTGGCAGCAGTGCCACACTGAGTTCCAGCAGTGCCATCCAGCCCCTCTGTCAGTGCCCAATCCAGGGGATGTTTGTCACCCAGCCCCTGTCAGTGCACTCTGGTGCCCAATCCAGGGGATGTTTGTCACTGAGGCTGGCACAGAGCCTGCAGTGAGCCTGTCCCACTGGCACAGAGCCCCAGCCGCCAAGACAGGGACAGAAGGGACAGAGTGTGACAGGAGGCCATGGTGAGACACTGAGGGGCTCAGCCCAATGGGGATCCCTCTCTGCTGAGCACAGACAGGTGAGAGGAGGGAGATCCAACCCCACCTGGTTCCCTCCTGGCAGAGCTGAGCACGACCAAGAGGAAAAGCACCCTGGATGGGCCTGGCATGGACCTCACAGTGACCTGCAGGAGGGTGAGTGGGGCCCCTGCACCCCCAATCTCTGCCCCAGCAGGGCACACATCTCCTAAAAGGGCACTGACCCTCCCTCCTTCCTCTGGAACTGCTGTCAGGCAAGGACAGGGGGCTGTGCTGGACCTGTGAGCTCCCCTGTGCTTGTGACAGGCTGTGCCCAGCCCTGCCGGGGCACTGCCAGGGCATTGATTGCCAGGGCACTGATTGCCAGGGCACTGCCAGGGCACTGCCAGGGCATTGCCAGAGCACTGCCAGGGCATTGTCAGGACATTGCCAGGGCACTGCCAGGGCATTGATTGCCAGAGCAGTGATTGCCAGGGCATGGATGGCCAGGGCACTGCCAGGGCATTGATTGTCAGGGCATTGCCAGGGCACTGATTGCCAGGGCACTGCCAGGGCACTGCCAGGGCATTGTCAGGACTTTGTCAGGGCACTGCCAGGGCTCTCCCCTTGCCCGCAGGTCGTGCTCAGTGGGCGGCAGAAGGAGCTGGCGCTGTCCCTGCGCTCCACGGGCCTGCTGATGAAAGCCATCCCTGCAGAGGAGGCTGCAGGTGGGTTCTTCCTCCTTCCTGGGGTTCCTGGTGCTCAGGGCAGTGAATCTGCCCATGGCCCTTGGTGCCAGCTGTGTCTGGGCTCTGGGGTGGAACCAGTGACAGGAATATTGCTGTCCCCACGGTCTGGTTGGGGTTTTCTCAGGAATGACGTGTCTGAGGCTCAGACAGGATTCCAGCATCTTCCCTCTGCTCCAGTCTTCCTCTTCCAGCTGCCCCTTAGCACTGGGCCAGCTTTCCACCCCGAGCATGATCCCACACAATTCCCATGTCCTTGGAGCCTGCTGCAGTCCTGTGTGTCCATAGTGCACCCAAATGTGGGGCAGGGCCCCCAGAGCTGAGCTGAGGCTGTGCCCTGGCCCCAGAGCTGAGCTGAGGCTGTGCCCTGGCCTCAGCCCAACCTCTGCTTCTGTCCCAGGCCAGGGCTGCCTCACTGTGACCATCACTGAAATCATCAGGACCAGCAACTTGGCAGGACGCTCGTTCTCAGTGAGTACCTGTGGGATCCTCAGGGTCAGACTCCCCTCAACAGCAGGGAAAGGGGCAACCCTGTGGGGAGGAGAGGGCTTTGGGGCCACCCTGCAATTGTATTCTGTGGAAAAGTCTGGATGTTTAAGCCAAAACTCCAGACACCCTGGGTGCCATCTCTGCTGGTCAGTGCCATCCCTGCTGGTCACTCTCATCCCTGCTGGTCACTGCTATCCCTGCTGGTCACTGCTATCCCTGCTGGTCAGGGCCAGGTTCTGAATCCAGACAAAGGATTCTCTCTGTGTCACATCTGAGGTTAAAAAAGAAAACCAGAGCAATGGCATTGTCTGTCCCTGTCACCACAGCACGCAGCCCAGGGAGGGCAGGGACACCCTCACAGGCTGTCCCTGCTGTCCCCATGCAGGCTGTGGCACACAGGTTCAGAACTCGCAGCATCAAGGTCAGGAGCCCAGAGCAGAGACCCTTCACTGTGCGGCTGGACAAGGACAGCAGGAGAACCTACAGGGACGTGATCGGGTGAGAATCCTGGCTCTGAACATCTCCTGCCTCCCCTCGGACAGGGAGCCCTGGTCCTCACCCCTGACAAAGCCCCATTCCTTCTCCAGGGACAGCAGGGACGCAGGGGCTCTCCTACATTTGTATTTTGGGAGGTGGTGTGAGAAATAATGTGTCCTTTACACAAAAGGTGCTGTCGTTGAGGCAGGAGAAAAGCAGGCACCGCCAGGGCCAAGCAGAGCTCAGATCTCCTGAGCTATGAATGTATCAGGATGCTGATGCTCTCTGCACTGCCTGCATCCCCCGGGGCTCTCCAGCAGGGGCAGGGGGGCAGAGCACCCAGCCCTGCGGCCATGGCTGGGCTGATGGGCCTGGGGAGCTGCAGGGACACGGGATGTGCTCAGGGTTCAGGGCCCAGCCAACACAAACTGTGAATGCCTGAGTCTCACTGAGCTCGGGGTGTGTCAGACACTGGCACCCAGCAGCCCATCTCTGCAGTCAGCCCCAGCTGCAGAGAGCACAAATGCAGCTGTGGCTGGCAGGGGCAGAGCTGGGCTTTGCTCACAGATCCCATCACAGGAAATGTGCTCTGTGCCCTTCCAGCCTGGAGGTGTCTCCCTGCCTCGAGCCCAGCTACTGCCTGCAGAAGACGAGGACCACGAAATGCAGCCCTGAGGAAACAGAGGACGTGGGGCTGGTGAAATACCTGCCCAAGTCTCTGCTGCTGCCCATCAACACTTTCGCAGGAGTCATCCCCTGAAGGGGACAGGAAGAGGTGCTGTGGGTTACGATGTGGGGCCAGCACAGAGCACACGGGGAGAGAAAACTCTGAAAGCCACCAGTGGGGACTCTACATGGCAATGGTGGGGAGAGCAGAGGTGGATGGGCTCAGAGGGCACAGCCCTGCCCTGTGACATATGTGACAATTGCTGACAACCCCTGCCAAGGGCACAGCCCTGCTGGTGACAGTGTGACAGTGTGACAATGGCCCCATGCCCCTGCCAAGAGCACAGCCCTGCCCTGTGACAGTGTGGCACTGGCCCCATGCCTCTGCCAAAGGAACAACCTTGCCCTGTGACATGTGTGACCATGCCAAGGGCACAGCCATGCCACAGGACTGAGCTTTTCACCTTTTGCATAGGTCAGGGAAAAGCTTTGAGCTCTCCATTCAGGAAGAACAAGGCAGATCCGTGGGAGGTGGTGTTGCCTGTCCTGGGGAGCCCAGGGCAGCTGGCAGCAGCAATGTTCCCTTTGGAGATGTCTCACAGCCCAGCAGGGCTCAGGTTTTCACCTCACAAGCTCTGTGCCAGACTGGGGCATCAAACATTGTGCCTCGATGGAAGCTGAGGAGCAGCAGGAGCTCTCGGGCACCTCAGGAAACCTCTGCACGAGCAGCTGCTGTTTTTGGGATCGTGTGAGCTTTAAGGGGTGACCCCTCTGCACCCCTCTGCCTCCTCAGGGCTTCCCTGTGGGGTTTGCACACACAGAGAAAAGGCTCAGAAAGCCAAAAGGCTTGGAGCTAGGCTGGGGTCAGAATTTGTTCTGTATAGCTGTAATTTATGTAGATGGATGATAAATTATTTGTATAGGTGTCATGGATGACTTAAACCGGAGGGTGCAATCCTTTTAGTGCCAATTGAAAGAAATAAGGACAAACCCCAGCTGAAGCTGCCGTTGGTGGTTGTTGTGTGTTTGCACATGGCTGGGATGCACATGGCTCCTGTGGCTCCCATCCGTGTCCCCCGCGCCCCGGCGGGCGGGGAGAAGGGCGAGCCCCGGGCAGGGCCCCTCCGAGCCCAGCGGAACCGCGGCCGCCGCTCCCCGGCCTGTGCGGGGCCCCGGGGCCGGATGAGCGCTGTGGCCGCTCCAGCCCGAGCATCCCGGGACCTGCGGGAGGGGACGCGCCGGGACACCCCCGTGCCAGTACCGGGACATCCTCGTGCCGGTCCTGGGCCATCCCCGTGCTGATACCGGGCCATCCCTGTGCCAGTACGGGGCCATTCCCTGTCAGTACCGGGCTGTTCCCGTATCAGTCCTGGGCCGCTCCTGTACCGGTGCTGGGCCATTCCCGTGTCGGTTCCAGACCATTCCCGTGCTGTTCCCGGGCCGTTCCCGTGCTGGTCCCGGGCCGTTCCCGTTCCGGTCCCGGCCCATTCCCGGCCCGGCCCGCAGACGGCGCTGCGCCCCCGCCGGTGCCGTGGCGGGGCAGGTGCTGCCGGGCCGGTGGCGCCCCGGTGCCGCAGGTGCGGCGGCTCCGCCCTGCCGGGATCGGGCCCGGCGGGGAGCGGCGGCGCTGCCGGCGGGTGAGGCCATGCTGCGGGGGCCATGAGCGAGCGCTGGGACGTGGGCCGGGCGCTGGCGCTGGCCGCGCTGTTCCGGGGGCTGCAGGGCGCGGGCCGCGGCTGCGCCGAGCCCTTCCTGCCGCTCTACCTGCGGCTGCTCGGGCTGCCCGCGCCGCTGGTGGGGGCCGCGGCCGGGGCGCGGCTGCTGGCGGCGCTGGCCGTGCCGCTGTGCTGCCCGCGGGGCCGCGCCGGGCGGCCCCTGCTGCTGCTGGGCACGGCGCTGGGCTCGGCCGGGGCCAGCCTGGCGCTCACCCTCATCCCGCCCGCGGGGGACACGGCGCACACGGGCTGCAGCCTGCAGCTCGGCCTGCCCGGCTCCCTGCCCGCCCCGCTGCCCTCCGGGCTCCCCTCCGCTCTGCCCAGCCCGGTGCCCAGCCCGGTGCCCACCGCAGTGCCCAGCCCCGGCAGGAGCAGTGACAGCGCGCTGAACCCGAGCGCTGTGCCGCACACCAGAGCTGTGCCAGGGCGAGCCGGGACCAGGGCTGCTGACGTGGTGGCAGCGAGCAGGGAACCCGCTCTGGGCAGTTCAGCCTCCCAGGGGCTGTTGGGCACAGCAGGTGCGCTTCAGGAACGCGGCAGAGGGGCTGGGGAAGGTGATCCAAAGGGAAAAGGCTCCTCGGATGGTCGCTCTGGCCGGACGGTGAAAGGCATCGATCCGCAGACACCGGAACCAGGAGGGCCGGCGTCCTACAGCCCTCCCTTCCCTGGGCTCCAGGAGGAAACTCCGGGTTCTACTGATACCGATCCTGCTGATAATGCTGAGGAAAGCCTAAATGCCACTGAGGGTAAAGAGCCAGCTTTGTTTAAAACAGCTCCTCCCGCCGTTGGAGATACCCATGTGCCTGAAAACCTTTCAGACTCTGGAGATGCCAGCTTGGAGGCAGTGCAGAGCATCTCCCAGGACAGACAGTACCGGGTTTTTCTCATGGTCCTGGGCGCCGTGGTGCTTTGGGAGCTGCTGGCCACGTCCCTGGAACGGGCCATGGATGAGAGTGTGTATGAGTACCTGGACTTTGTGGACGCCACGGACAGGCACGGGGGGCTGTGGCCGTGGGGCTGTGTGGGTGCAGCCGCCGGGGCGTGCGGCGTGTCCGTGCTGGTGGATCGGCTGCCCTGCTCCCTGGGCGGCTCCATCCCCCGCCTGGCCGTGCACTTCTACGCCTACGCTGTGCTGGCCGTGCTCTCCGTGACGGTCAGCATCTCCTTTCCCAGCTCCATTCCCAGGCGGAGCCCCCGCGCTCCCGGGCTGCCTAAGGCGCTGTCCCTGCTGCGGGGGCACGGCCGGGCGCTACTCTTTGCGGGCACCCTGGTCCTCGTGGGCGCCGCCAGCTCTGCCAGCCACAACTTCCTCCCGTGGCAGCTGCAGGACCAGGGCGGCAGCGAGCTGCTCGTGGGGCTCTGGGTGGCGCTGGGGCCGCTGGCAGAGCTGGCGCTTCACCCGCTGGGGCCGCGGCTGCTGCGGGCGCTGCCGGGCGGCGGGGCAGAGGCGCTGGGCCTGGGCGCGCTGGCAGCGCAGCTCCTGAGCTATTCCCTGCTCCGGGTGCCCTGGGCAGCGCTGCCCCTGCAGGCCCTGTCCGGCCTCGGCAGCGGGGCCCTGCGGTGCCACACGCAGGCGACAGTGCGGGACGTGGCCACGCCGGGCACCGAGCGCGCCCTGCTCGCCCTGCTGCGGGCGCTGGGCACGGCTGGGGCCGGCCTGGGCAGCCTCGGGGCAGGGTTTGTGGTGCAGCGCCTCGGGCTGCCCGTGCTGCTCCGGGCCAGCTGCGTGGGGCTCGGGATCTGGATCATCTTCTCCCTAATTGTCAGATCCAGATTGCCCCGGCAGAGGAAAATTAATTATTCCCGGCTGCTGGCTGCGGATTCCAGTGAAATGAGTGACTCTGAGGAGGAGAGCGAGAAGGACTGGCTGGTAAAGGCGATGAAGGATGAGAGCTTTAACAGGAATTGGATACAGCAGCATGGCATCAACTAGTCCGTACCTAAATCTGTGGGGTGGAGTGGGAACCTGGCAATGATAATGTCCACAAATCACCATCAATTCTGAACTGCAGAATATATACTGCTATATCTGACAGGAGAGATTTTTATTTTAAAAAAAAACTGTTATAAATCTTATTTTCTTACTTTATAGCATTCTATATTTTTTGTAATTTTTCCTTTTTAACTTGATGATTTTGCTTCCAAAATCCCAAAAGGGTATTTCAGGTGTACATTGGCTAAATGAATGTAGCTGAGTTTTCAGTCACAAATCAAGCTTGGATTGTTGCTGCCAGAGCTGCTGCTGAGGCTGAGTGACAGCTGTGACCTGGGCTGCGACACCACCAAATGGAAATTATTGCCAAGTTGACAGCACCAGAACCCTTCCGGGGTGGCGGTGAACTCTCTGCACTTTATAAGGGATGTGAATAAAAACCCGGTTCATTTGTAAGAGAAGGTTTTTCCACAGACCGCCCTCGTGTCGTGCTTTGTGATTTCCGTGTGTCCTGCTGGGAATCTGCTGGGAGAGCCCTCCAGTGTGCTCAGAGCCCGCGCCTGGCCCGGCCCTCCTGGGCACTTCCCGGTGCTGATTTAAGGCGTGCCCGGCGTTCCAGGTGGCAGGAAGGGGCCTGGGCTCCCGGGCTGGGATTTCCGGGGTTGGGATGGGACACCTGCCCTGGCTCAGCCGCATCCTGAGCAGGGCTCCTGCGGCTGCTGAAACAGCCAGGCAGGGACAGCACAACCGCAGAAAGAGAAGGGGAAATTATGTCCCTTATTAACCCTCACTAACAAAGCAACACCTGGGCACAGGTGCACACAGAGAGCAGCGCTCGCTCCATGCCAGAGGATCTCCTTCACACTGAGTTATCCCGGGTTGTTTGTTCCCAGCTCGAAGTCACTGGTTCCCAGCCTTCCTCTTTTAACCCATTCCTGGCTGAAGTCTCCTCACCTGCCCTGCCTTCACCTCCAAGGCACAGATTCCAGCCCCTCTCCAGGAGGTAAGTTCTGCTTCTCAATGGAAAATCGGCGGTCTGCTGTCATCAGAAGATCTTAAATGGGGTTTAAATGAACCTCTTAAATGAGCCTTGGAATCCCTTAAGGCACAGCAAAGGCTGCTATCAGTTATCAGGTATTCCTCGGTCAGGAAATCGCATCATTCCTGTGCACAGGGATGGATTTCAGTAACATCTGCATGAGTGGCTCACAAGCCCCGAGCCAGGCAGCTGCAGAAAGCAGAATATTTATGGAGATGCACATTTATTGTGGCATATGCAAATGGCCTGGCAGTGTGTCACCGTGCCGCGCTGTGGGCTCGGCAGGAAGCGCTGGAGACAAGGAAAGGGCTCCGGGCGATAATTCCTCCCTCTGTAGGCATCGATCCCGCATTATGTGTGAATCAGATGTTTTCAGGGTAATTAGCTCCCGCTCTCCTGGCAGCGATCCTGGGTGCCTGCACAATGCTGCGCTGGAGTGGCTCCATAGATAGAGCTGTCCCCGTGCCGAGAATAGCTGGAACTTTTTATTAAGATGCTATCATCTCCCGGGAATTCAAACACGAGCGGAGCAATTTTGATGTCAAGAATTTCTCCCGGTCTTATTGTCGTGTAATAACTGAGGAACAAAGCGTGTTAATGGGGGATCTGCCTGCAGTCAGGCTCATCCCTGCACGCAGAGCATCCCGAGCCTTTGTGAGCGGCACAGAAAGAGCTGGAACGCTTTGAAATGCAGCTGCTGCTTCAGCTGCCCTCGTTAGAAGCCGATTACCTGGGTGAACCGTGCCCTTCTCATCATTCTCAGCACAGCAGCGGCTGCTGGATTCCAGATTCACGGGGAGAAACCTTGCCGTGCCTGTCCATCCTGGAGCTGTGCAGAGGGGTGACTCCCCTGAATCTGCACCGAATGTGTTTAATGGATTGATGATCTTTAAAAAAACACCTCATTGTGCAAGATTATCACACTGACGTTCAGCTTTGGGCATTCCCTTAAATCCTCCCGTCCACAGCACAAGCACATCTCTCTGAGGAGGAGCAGGGAAGGTCCCATTGAAACTCCTCAGCCTCAGAGTTCCAGGACCTGGGTTGGGGAGGAAGCCCAGCTGCTCCTGTGCCTCATTTGCACTCCCCTCTGCCCCGAGGATTCCATCCAATCCAGCAGCTCCAGTGGTGAATTGTATCCTGGCTCTGGGTGGCTCTGGGCTGCCTGATTCACTCCCGATAAATTGAGTGTATAAAATGCATTAAACTCCGGTTCAGCCCCCAGCAGATCGGGCTGCTCGCAGTGAAAGTCATCCTGGAGAGTGCTTGCCTGAAGAATTGATTAAAATATTTACAGGTTCATTTTCTCTGCGCTTCCGAGCGACCAAAACAAGGTGAGTCACTGCAGCCCTGCTGGCTCCAGGGCTGGGGGCGCTGATCCTTTCATCGGCTGAGAGGCAGCAGCTTCATGGCTCTCCTTCCCTGTACAGCCAAATCCCCAAAGCAGCCCCTGCACACCCGAACCAGCCCCCGCACACCCCAACACCAACACCCAAAGCAGCTCCTGCATCCCCGAACCCCCAAAGCAGCCCCTGCACGCCCAAACCAGCCCGGGCAGCCCTGTCCTGTCCCTGGGCTGGGAACCAGCAGTTCCTTACAGCCCCAGGGCATTCCTGAGCGATTCCCTGGAATGCTGGAGCTCCTCGTTTGACAAGGGTCGCCCTTCCAGCTCCCAGCCCACCTCCACTGCCCCCTGGCTTTGTGTTGCTCCTGGGAGAGTGCTCCTGCATTTCCAGAGGTGCTGCTGCTGCATTTCCATCCCAGAGCAACAGCTCCCATATCCTTTCCCCCCGCTTTTAGACAGAGACTCTTAATTTTTGCCTTGTTGTGTTTATATTCCATAGTTATCCTCAAAGAATGAAGCACCATCTCTGGCATGTGTTTGCTTCAAATCCTTCGGCTGGATCAAGAGCCGGGAGCTCCTCTTTGGCTGTTGGAGGTGGGAATTCCAGGATTTTGCTCAGGTTTGTGTTGCACTGGCTGGAGCTGAGGCTGTTGTGAGCAGAGCCCACGGGCTGCTTCTGGGTGGGGTTGGATCCCCCAGACCCCCCCAGTGTCACCGTGTCTCTGTTCTCCAGCCAGGGGCACTTCCCAAAGTGTCCCTGAGCCCCTCACCGAGCTGGGGTGTGCCTGAGCCCTTGGAGCTGTGCATGGGGACATCAGTGTCACTCTCAGGCACATCCTGGCCGAGAGCTGTCCCAGCAGAGGACTCTGTGTGTCCCCTCGCTGTGTTTTGGGGAGGGATGCTGAGGTGTGTCCTCTCGGTGTGTTTTGGGGAGGGATGCTGAGGTGTGTCCCCTCAGTGTTTTGGGGAGGAGGTGTTGCAGTGTGTCCCTCGCTGTGTTTTGGGGAGGGGGTGTTGAGGTGTGTCCCCTCGGTGTGTTTTGGGGAGGGATGCTGAGGTGTGTCCCCTCGGTGTGTTTTGGGGAGGGATGCTGAGGTGTGTCCCCTCAGTGTTTTGGGGAGGAGGTGTTGCAGTGTGTCCCCTCGGTGTGTTTTGGGGAGGGATGCCGAGGTGTGTCCCTCGCTGTGTTTTGGGGGAAGGGGTGTTGAGATGTGTCCCTGCAGGGCCGTGACTCCTCAGCCAGGTGCTCTAGGGGTACAAACCCCTGTCAGAGCAGGGTTTGCCCCCACACCCAGCCCCCCTGGCCGTTTGCTGTGCCCAGCCTAGGGCAGTGCCCCCGGGCATTGCTGTCCTGGCCGAGACAGGAGGGAGCCCCAGGTCCTGCTGAGGTTCCTGCTGCACTCCAGCCCTTGGGGCTTGGCTCAAACTCTCGCTCTTGGGTTTTTCCATGGCCAAAAGTTGCTTCTACCAGGAACCACGGCTGCCCTGGCTCAGCGGGTTGTAGGGGGTTGTTGGGTGCTGAGCCTCACCCCCGGCACTCCGTGTCCCACCCCCGTGCCCCACGGAGCCTGGGCGCCCTCAGTGCCCGGGCCCCGCTCGGTCGGTGCGGATGCTGCGCTTTTGGGGCTGAAAGGGGCCGGGACGAGACCCGGGTGAAGCTGCGGGGGCCGGGGGCTGCAGGCGGGGGGCTCGGAGCGGAGGGAGTGGCGGGAGCGGCGGGAGCCCCCGCCCCGGCGGAGCGGAGAGAGCAGAGCAGAGAGAGAGGAGGGCTGAGAGCGGCGGGAGCCGAGAGAGCAGCGCGGAGGGAGCAGCGGGAGCCCCCGGCCCGGCGGAGCGGAGCCGTGGGTCGGTGCAGTGGGATCGGTGAGAGCCCCCGCCCGGGCGGAGCGGAGCGGCGGGAGCAGCGCGGAGGGAGCGGTGCAAGCAGCGGGAGCCCCCGGCCCGGCGGCGCGCTGGCTGCGGATGGAGGGCAGCCGCGCTTCTCCCCGCTACGGATCCATGGAATCCACCCGCTGGCCGCCGGCCGGCGCGGGGCCAGGTGAGCGCCGCGGCACCGGCACCGGCACCGGCACCGCCCGAGCCCAACTTCCCCCGGCCCGGGTCCGGGACAATCCGGGCAGCCGAGCCCCGGTAGCTGGCGGGGAACCGGCGGCTTCCAGCAAACGGAGCCCGGCCCGGGTCCCCGAGCGGCCATCGGGAGCGGGGATGGATGGATGATGGATGGATGGGTGGGTGGGTGGATGGATGGATGGATGGATGGATGGATGGATGGATGGATGGATGGATGGATGGAGTGCCTGGGGGACAGTAAGAACGGGAGGAAGGGGGGCTGGAGGGGAGGAAGGGTGGGTGCAGGGGGTGTCTGCAGGGACACACCGGGGCAACTCTGTCACATCTCGCTGCTTGCGCGGCCCTGGGCACGGCTGTGAGCGGGCACAGGGGGGCTCGCCCTGTCCTTCACCGCCTTTGCCCCTCTCAGACCGGTCCCTGCAGCAGGACCGAGGTGAGAAGAGCGGGGACGCCAAGGGGGGGAATCGCCTTGGGCAGAGCCCTCGACCTTGGGCTGGAGGAAGGGTCGCAGCGCTGGGCTGGGCCGAGGGAGGCGCCTGCGATCCCTCTGCTCCGCCGCCCCTCCGAGCCCTCCCCTTCCCTGCCCCTGTCTGCTCCCCCTCAGCCCCCTGCACCCAGCGGGCTCGGACAGACAGCTGGAGGGGCAGGGCCGGAGGGATCACCAGCTCCAGCATCCTGCTGGTACTGCCTGGGGGCTGTGAGGTGCCCGTGAAGCTGCTCAGCTCCTGAGGGAGCTGTGGGAAGCTTGGGTCCTTTCCCTTTGTGCCTTTCCTGGCAGTGTGTGTCCTCCCCTACACCTCCCGTGGGGCTCTGAGGGGTTCAGCCGCCCGTCCTCTGCTCCAGCAGCTGGGTGACATCGCGGTGGGCCAGGGACTGGACTCAGGGTGCTGGGTATGGGCAGGACACTCCCCACGGGTGCCTGTGAGCAGGGCTATGGTGGCTGTGATTCTGCTGATTCAGAGCAGTTCCGTGAGCTCCCAGCTCCTGGGGACCTTGGGGTGGGTGAGAACCTTGGGACAGGTAAGAACAGCAATCCCTGTCTGCTATTTGGGTGCTGCTCTGCTGCCTGCTCCCCACCAGGACAGCTCAGACTGAGCCTGTGCTGCACTGAGCCCTTGGAGCCTCTCGTCCTGCTGGAGTCAGGCTGAGTGTGCCCTGTCCCTGCTGCTGGCTGGGGCAGGCTGAGTGTGCCCTGTCCCTGCTGGCAGAAGCAGGACCTGGCTGGGACAGGCTGAGTGTGCCCTGTCCCTGCTGCTGGCTGGGGCAGAGGGAACACAAGGCTGAGCTGAGGCTTCTCGGGATGGTGCCCCCATGAAGGGCTCTGACCCTCCACAGGGGCTGACAATCGATTTCCCAGCTCTAATCCTGAAGAGAATTGCCCAAAGCTCACCGTGCACTGTTGGCTGCTGTGACTCATCCCAGCTGGCTGCTGCCTGCCCAAATGCTGTCCCCGAACCATCTGCAATGGAAGTCTCTGGCTGTTACACTCCTCGTTAGCTTAGGCCCCTCCCTGGGATGGCTGGGATGATCAGAGCATCTCCAAATTTCTGTCCTTGCTTTGCCAGCCTGAAGTGGTGCCAGGTAGGATCCCTTTGGCTCAGGCTCTGGGGTTTCTGTGTGTAGGGTTTGTATAAGGTTTCCTGTGTGTGGCTGTGCTGCTCTGGGAGAGCTGTGGGAGCACAGGGACCCCTGGGCAGTGTGGCCACACTTGGGGCCATCCTGTCTGTCCCCAAAGGGATATTTGGATTATGGGCTTGATCCCAGCTTTAGTGACCTGCCATGGGTGTCCCCTTCTCCACGTGCTCCATCCCAGGGTTTGTGGGTTAATTTTCCAGCAGTTCTCTCCTGGCACTGCCCTCCCTCTGCTTCTGCCCTGAATTCGGCAGCTCCAGGCACACAAAGGTCCTGTCAGAGCTCCTTGTCCAGCACCGCCTGCTTGGGGAGCAGTTCCTTGGAATTCCTGGGGGCTGCAGAGTGCCAGGACTGACCACAGCTCCTGAAGGCTCAGCCAAGGGCTGGCCCACTCCAGCTGAGCCCTGCAGCCTTGGCTGGGCTGTGCTGTGACCTTCCCACTGTGCCCCTGTCACAGCACACTCTGACCTGCTCAGTGCCCAGCAGAAAGGCGACTTGGGAGCAGCGTGGGAGGGCAGGGCGGTGCCAGCCACGCCCGGTGGTGCCAGAACCAACCCAGAGCCCAGCCAGGAGCTTTCCTGCCCTTGTGGGCTCTGCCCAGGGGCTGGAATTACACCCCAGCCTCCTGCTGCAGGTGGGGGAAAGCAGTTCAGCCCTGCCTCCTTCTCCCATCCCACCATTGTCACCTCGTCCTGTCCCATCCCTGTCACCTCCTCCTGTCCCATCCCTGTCACCTCCTCCCGTCCCAGCCCTGTCACCTCCTCCCCTCCCATCCCTGTCACCTCCTCCTGTCCCATCCCAACCGCCTCCTCCCTTTGCCTCTCCTGCCGAGGATTCCCCTCTCGCAGCTGGCATGGCTGTGCCGATGCCATTCTGGGATTCTGGAGCTGCTCCAGCCCTGGCGCTGCCGCCGGGAAATTCCTGCTGGGAACCTCAGCGCAGTGATCGTTCCAGCAGGGATCAGAACGTCCCGGGTCATTCCCAGGCCAGGAGGGACCGTCCCTGTCCCGAGCCCCGCCCCGTGCCCCAGGCAAGCTGAGGTGTCCCCAGTGTATCCCCAGTGTGCCCCCGGGCAGGTTGGGCTGTCCCTGGGGTGTCCTTGGCATGTCCCTGGGCACAGAGGCTGCAGGAACCCCGGGTTTGTGTATCTCTGTGTTTATTGACACAGAGGGGACACAGCAGCACGGTTTTTGGTGCCAGCTGTGCCACCTGCCCCTCCAGCTGTGCTGGTCCCTGCACATCTGGCAGCATCTGCAGCGCGTCCCTGGGGCCGTCCCCAGCTGCTCAGCTGGGTGCAGCTGCAGCAAAACATCCCAGGCCAGAGGGGCTGTGGGGTAGCAGAGCCCCAGAGTGCTCGGGATGAAGGACCTCAGCATCCCGGTCCCCTAGCAACCGCACTCTGGTCCCTTAGCAACCGCACGGTGATGCTGTAGCAGGCACAGGCCGGTCCCTTGGCAACCGTCAGGAGGGGAGAAAAGGGAGAGCAGAGCTGGGCAGGAGCTGCTGGGGGCTCAGCCAGCCTCACCCTGTGCCCCAACGGGAGCTGCTCATCCAGCCGCACCCTGCCCTGAACCCCAACAGGAGCTGCTGGGGGCTCATCCAGCCTCACCCTGAGCCCCAACAGGGACCAAGGGAAGAGTCACGCCCTGGCATCAGCCTCACCCTGCCCTTCCTGCCTGGGGGCAGGGACACAACCTCCAAGAACCCTCATGGGTTTCCAAGCCAGAAACAGCAGAAAAGTCTTCCCCAAACCACACACATGGATCCAAACCATCGGATTTCCACAAGAAACCTTCCCTGCTGGAAGTTTTGGAAATGTGTCCCACTCTGGGAATGATTTCCTGAGCAGTGTTTTGTGATGGGGAGAGGACAGAGAGTGCAGAGAGTTTGCTCCTGTGCCTTGGAGTTTGATTCTTCGTGCCCTGTAACCCTCAGGGTTGGGATGCCCAGACCACACAGCCTGGCATCTCCCAGCATCCCTGCTGGGCAATCCTGCTCCTGGAGCAGCTGCACCTTCTGTGCTTTCCCCTCTTCCTGGGAACAGCTTTATTTCTGTTCTTTCCCCTCTTCCTGGAGCAGCTGGATTTCTGTGCTTTCCCCTCCTCCTGGAGCAGCTGGATTTCTGTGCTTTCCCCTCTTCCTGCACAGGGAAAGTCCCAGGGCTGCAGGAAGGCAGAGCCTCAGAGGGGAGCTGTGTCCTGTAAGGGTCAGAGGAAGCAGACCCAGCCCTGCAGGAGTTTTTGGAATGTTGTTTGGAATGTTGTCCCCCAGCCTGGCTCTGCCCCTGTCCCCAGCACCCCCGGGAATGTGGGGCTGGCTGGGATGTGACAAAGGTGCTGCTGCTGGCACTGGTGACAGGCTCAGGTGACAGGCTCAGAGTCGTGTCTGAGCCAGCCCAGGCTGGGAGCTGGCTTGCAGCAAATCCTCAGCAATTCCCAAATCCTCAGCTGTTCCCAAATCCTCAGCAATTCCCAAATCTTCAGCTGTTCCCAGATCCTCAGCTATTCCCAAATCCTCAGCTGCTCCCCAAACCCGGCTGGGAGTCCCTGTGGGATCCCCACAGCATCCAGAGGAATCCATGGGCCAGGCAGGAGCAGTGAGTGGGATTTGTGTGTGAGTCACAGCGGGGGAGGCAGAGCTGCTGGTCAGAGCCACGGCCAGAGGTGGATGGGCTTTCACCCTGTGCATCCTCTCAAACACAAATCACAGCCCCTTTATCCCACGTCTTGCTGTGAAGCTCCTGCCTCACCCTGAGCCGGTGACCCCCCCTTCCCTGCCTCAGTTTCCCCAGGTGGGGGCTGGATGTGAGCTCAGCCCTGCAGAGGGTGGGGAGCTGGATGGGGGCTCACCCCAGTGGCTGGGAGGGATGGGGGTGTTCAGCCAGCCTGTGATGAGGGGAGCAGCAGCAGGAATTCACCCCGTGGCTCTCAGCTCTGAGCTTTGTGTGCCCCGGTTTGCTCCTGGTCAGCAGGACGGTGCAGGGCAGGCTCAATTCTCTGCGGTGGACGTGCTGGAGGTTTCTGTGCCTCTGCAAAAGGAAAGGGACATTCCTGCCCTCCCATCCAGCAGGTTGCAGCTCCCTTGGGCTGCTGCTGCTCAGGGAATGTGGGGCTGCGTCCCAGCACAGAGTCTGGCACGGGCCGGGAGCAGGGAAGCGCTGCTGCTGCTGCTGCTGTTCCCGAGGCTGCCCCAGGGCCTCGCTGCTCTCCTGCTGCCTCAGGCGCTCCTGTTCCCTGCTCCTTGTCCAGAGGACGAGATCGTGTCCATGGCCGACTCCACCACCACCATGGATGACATAGAGGGGGAGCTCTTCAGGATCGAGCGGATCCGGGAGATCCTGGTGCGCCGGGAGTCGGAGCTGCGCTACATGTGAGTGTCTGTCCCTCTGTGCTGTGTGTCTGTCCCTCTGTGTGCTGTGTCTGTCCCTCTGTGTGCTGTGTATCTGTCCCTCTGTGCTGTGTGTCTGTCCTGTGTGCTACCTGTGAGTGTCTGTCCATCTGTGTGCTGTGTGTCTGTCCATCTGCACTACATGTGAGTGTCTGTCCCTCTGTGCTGCATCTGTCCATCAGTGCTGTGTGTCTGTCCCCCGGCGCTACATAAGTGTCAGGTCAATCTGGGCAGTGGAAGCTTTGAGCTGCTTTCAGGCTCAGATTTGGAGCCTCTTTGGGGCACAGCTGCCCCTGAACTTCCCCAGCTCCCCCTTTTCGAGTTTGAAAAGGAGTTGTGGAAACACCAAAAGTGCAGCTCCCAAAGGCTTTCCATGGCAGCAGCACCTGATGCTCTCAGGTGCTGCCAGAGCTCCAGCTCCGGTGTTTCCTTAACCTTCGTTTGGTTTCTCCCTTGGAAAGCAAAGGGAAATCTGCTGCAGAAACCTCCTGGTGGGCTTGGCTGCCACAGCGACCCCGTGGGGCTGGGACAGGCCAGGAGTGCCTGGCTGGGACCTGGGGGAGCTGTGGGAGATGTGGGAGATGTGTGGGAGCTGTGGGAGCTCTGCGGGAGCTGTGGGAGCTGTGGGAACTCTGTGGGAGCTGTGGGAGCTGTGGGAGATGTGTGGGAACTCTGTGGGAGCTGTGGGAGATCTGTGGGAGCCCTGGGGGAGCTGTGGGAGCTCAGGCTCAGCTCTGCAGGGCCCAGGATGAGCCAGGGAAGGCTGAGGAGTTCCTGGGGCGCTGCTGCTGGAGAGGGGGAGCCCAGAGCTGGGCTCTGCAGCACAGCCTCAGAGGGGTGGGACGCAGGGGCTCCAAGGCCCTTTCTGGTCCCCAGCGGGACAGAAGGTGATGCTCAGGGTGGGTGGATGGACTGCAGGGCTCAGGGAGATGGAGAACTAGCAGGGTGAGCAGCTGAACAGGGCAGGGACCCCCGTAATAACCAGAGTCTGCTCTTGTGGGCAATCAGATGAGCCATGCCAGCACTCCTGGGTGTCCCTGCTCTGGGAACAACGGGGCACCAAACGCTTCTCCTTCCCAGGGCAGAAGGAAACGGCTGGGATTCTGTGGGAGCTGCAGCTCCCCTGGTCCCTGAGGCTCTCTGAGACTCCCTGGGACACCTGGCTCTGGTGATGCTGCCACAGGTGTCACCAGCAGGGGTGGAACCAATCCCAGCCCCAGAGGAGCCTCCTGGCTGCTTGTCCCTGCAACCCCTCCTGATTTTAATTGAAACCAGAATTTATTATCTTTTATTCTCCCTATCAGTGTCTACAGAATTAATTTCCATTTTAATGCAACAATCATCCAGCTCTCATCTGAGTGTAATTTTCATTTCAATCAGTGTGTCCCCAGCAATCTCTGCTGTCCCTGTGGCCCCCTGGTGCTCTGCACACCCCCTCTGTTACATTTCATGTTTCTACCTTTATTTAATTCTGCAGGAAGGTGGGATAAGAAAAGATCTTTTTTTTTATGGCAGCAGCTTCCAATTCTTTTTGAATTTGCTCTTTGGGGATTATTTTCTGGGACCAGGAGAAACACAGCAGCCCTTGCCTGGTGGATGGGCCAGGTTTGGATAAGGCTTTGTTATCATTAGCATATTTAACTTTCTGTCTGCCAACAACAAGAGCCCCAACAAAAATCTGGGGTGAAGTGGGCTGCATTTCCCACAGGAAGGCAGGGAAATCTGGGATCCCACCACAGGCACTGCCTGGGTGCTGCTCTGGGGGTTTGAGCCTCTCCTGTCCCAGCTTTCCCCCTCAGAGGTCCCGTTCGTGTCCCTGCAGGATGGACGACATCCAGCTCTGCCAGGAGATCAGCCGGCTGAAAACAGAGCTCCAGAAACTGCTGGACCTGCCAGGTGAGGCTCTGGGGGTGCTCCCCGAGGGTGCTGGGATCCCTGGGGTACTGCAATCACTGGGGTGATGGGATCCCTGACAGTGCTGGGATCCCTGACAGTGCTGGGATTCCTGAGGGTGCTGCTCTCCCGAGGGTGCTGAAATCCCCAGTGTGATGGGATCCCCAGGGTGCTGGGATCCCTGGGGTTATGGGATCCCTGACAATGCTGGGATCCCTGAGGATGCTGCTCTCCCCAGGGTTTTGCACTCCTCGTCCCAGGGCAGGTGTTACAGGGGTGCTGGGCTCAGGCAGGGCCCAGCTGTGCCCAGCTGTGTCCCCAGCACCTCCTCTGTGCCGTGCCCAGCCCACCCCAGAGGCCGGGCTGGCCCTGCCAGGTGCCACAGTGCCACGGTGCTGGCTGGGCCTGGCAGCCACAGAGTGCACACAGGCAGAGTCCAGGTGCTGCTCGAGATTCAGGTGCTGCTCAAGATTCAGGTGCTGCTCCCCCCAGTAAACCTGGCTTGGTGTGTGGGTGGGGGCTCAGAGGGGAGGGGAGCATCCTGCCAGGAAAACAGGAGCTTCTTGCTCCACATCTCATGGGGGCTTTAATCCCAACTCCTTCCAGTCCATAAACCAAGCGTTTCCCTAAACCAAGCCTTTCCCTAAACCACGGCTCAGAGCAGAGATAAATTGGGGTTTTTTTGCAGCTGGAGAAATGAGCCTGGCTTTCCTTCATCTCCTTTGGGCTTTCGTTTCTTGTCTTTTCAGTGCTCCCAGACTCAGCTGAGAGCAGAAATTCTGCTTTTTGTTGTCTTTATGAGTTGACTCAGAGCAGTGTGTGCTGGAAAAAGCCTGCACACGCCTGTTCTGGTGAGACAGCCCCGGCAGCTGAACTTTGAATAAAGACAGGAACACGTCAGTGCTGCTCAGAGCCCAGCCAGGGCCACTGCGTCTTTAGTGACTCAGATGTCACCGTGATGGGCTCTGCCAGCAGCGGGAAGGGGCAGCTTCTGTCTGGGGGGACCTTAACCCTGACAGGTTCTGCCTCAGACTGCAGTTTGTTAATTAACAGCGAATAGCCGGTGTTAATGAACCCCGAACACCGGTGTTAGTGAACTCCAAATACTGGTGTTAATGAACCCCAAATTGCCGGTGTAATGAACTCCAAATACCGGTGTTAATGAACACCAAATTGCCGGTATAATAAACTCCAAATACCGGTGTTAGTGAACCCTGAATACCGGTGTTAATGAACGCCAAATACTGGTGTTAATGACACCAAGGAGCCGATATTATTGAACCCCGAATAGCCGGTGTTAATGAACCCAAATAGCGGTGTTAATGAACCCCAAAACCGGTGTTAGTGACCCCAAATAGCGGTGTTAATGAACCCCAAAACCGGTGTTAATGAACCCAAATAGCGGTGTTAATGAACCCCAAACAGCGGTGCTTGGGCCTGATGCCCTGGGGGTGGCCCTGTCCCAGCCGGCAGTGTGGGATGCTCAGAGACAGCGCCCAGGTGACTCTGCACTGATTCAGGCGGTGGGAGAGCTCAGGAGAGCCCAGGGAGAGCCCCAGGAGAGCCCCAGGAGAGCTGCCACATCCAGCCAGGGCAGCTGGGACGAGATTCCTCTCGTTGAGCAGCCCAAGCCTGGATCCAGCTGCTCCCTTGGGTTGGCTTTGCCCCCATGCTTGGAGCTGAGCAGAGCAGGACTGGCCTTGGAGGGTGGGATGGCCCCTGTGGGGAGTGAAATGTGCTCCCCATGGGATGTGAAATGTGCTCCCCGTGGCTGTGAGTGTGCTCCCCGTGCTGCAGAGAACCAGAAATCCAACGAGGAGAAGCAGAGGGAAGAGGAGCTGGTGCAGCAGATCCACAAGCTGGTGGAGACGCGGGATTTCCTGGTGGATGACGTGGAGTTTGAGAGGCTCAGGTAGCTGCTGTCACCTGCTGCTCGTGCTGGGGACTCTGCAATCCATCCCCTGAGCTGGGTCCTGCCTTCCCAGGGCTCCTGGGGCCCTGCTGCTCCTTTCCCAGCAGTAACCGAGTTCTTTGCCGCACACAGGGAAAGGGAAGAGGACAAGGAAATGGCCGAGTTCCTGCACAGCAAGCTCTCCAAAAGCTGCCTCCAGAGAGCGAGTGAGTGCTGATGTGTTCATTGCCTGCACTGACCCTCCCTGGGGTCTGTCCCCTTCCCAGGCACTCTGCCCCCAAGGTTTCCCTCACCTGGGGGAGGGTGGGCAAGGGGCACGGGGGTGCTGCTGATTGAGGTCCCAGTGTGGGAGCGCCTGGAACTGGAGCAGATGGTGGGGACTGATTTCCCTCCTGGCATTTCCCCCATGGCCCCCGAGAACGGGGCTGGGGGGATCTCTTGGAGCTGCCAGCCCTCATCTCCCCTGGAACACCGGCTCCACCTCGGGTGGGTGCAGATGGACACCACTCCTCTGATGACAGCCACCCCTTCCCTGTGCTCTGCCACCTCCCCAGGGTGATGGGAGGCACTCCCAGCCCTGGGGACACCCAGAGCCCCAGGGGACACCCAGAGCCCCAGGGAAGGGCCATGGAGGTGCAGGAGCTCCTGCCTCGGGGTCAGCAGCAGCCTCAGAGCAGCTGTGAGCAGCAGCCCCTGCTGTGCCCTGTCCCTGTCCCTGTCCCCAGGCACAGCACTGGCCCTGGGCTGAGCCCTGTCTCTGTCCCTGTGCCAAGCAGCAGCCCTGGACTGTCCCTGTCCCTGACCCCAGGCAGAGCAGTGGCCCTGGGCTGTCCCTGTGCCCAGCAGCAGCCCCTGCTGTCCCTGTCCCTGTCCCCAGACACAGCTGGGTTCCTGTTCCTGCAGCTCCTGTCCCAGAGAAGAAGATGACATCAAGGGGACAGCAAACCTCGGCTCCCTACGTGACCAAGACGGGGCTGGCCCTGCTCAGGGGGTGCTGTGGCTTCACCTGCTCCATCATGTAGGGCACTGCCAGCGCCTGGCACAGGACACGGCCGTGGTAGGGGCACGTCCTGGGGACACGGGACGGGCAGGAGGGGCTTCCTTGGAGCTGATCCTGTCCTGGAGCTGATCCTGTCCTGGAGCTGATCCTGTCCTGGGGCTGATCCCATCCTGGAGCTGATCCCGTCCTGGAGCTGATCCCAGCCTGGAGCTGATCCTGCCCTGGAGCTGATCCTGTCTTGGAGCTGATCCTGTCCTGGAGCTGATCCTGCCCTGGGGCTGATCCCAGCCTGGAGCTGATCCCAGCCTGGAGCTGATCCCATCCTGGAGCTGATCCTGTCTTGGAGCTGATCCTGCCCTGGAGCTGATCCCATCCTGGAGCTGATCCTGCCCTGGAGCTGATCCTGTCCTGGGGCTGATCCCAGCCTTGAGCCAATCCCATCCTGGGCTGCTCCAGAGACTCTCCACGGCTGCTGTGCTTGGCCCACAGGGATTTGCTTTGTTCCACACACACCAAAGGCTCCAGTCTGTCCTGCCCTCCCAGGCCTCATTGGGACAGTGAGTGACCCAGCCAGAGAGTTTGGTTGGGCTGAGGGCAGCCAGAGGCCAGGAGAGCCCTGGGTTCCAAACCTGCCCCTCTGGAGGCAGCCTGGGATGGAGGCAGTGCTGGAGGATGGGCAGGTCTGTCTGTGTGTCCCCTGAGGATGGGCAGGCTGTGTCTGTATGTCCCCTGAGGATGGGCAGGCTGTGTCTGTGTGTCCCCTGAGGATGGGCAGGCTGTGTCTGTGTGTCCCCTGAGGATGGGCAGGCTGTGTCTGTGTGTCCCCCCATGGCCCTGAGGCTGCTCCCTGGGCACACAGAACTGCTGGGAGGGCTGGAAGAGGAGCCCAGCCCATGGAGGGACACAGCTTCACGTGCATCCACCTCAACCCCAACCAATAAATGTCTGCTGGAAGCTCTGTGGGTGTTTTCCCTCCTGGCACCACCTCAGGAGATGGCTCAGCTGGGGCACAGCAGGGTGGGCAAAAAGTGTGTGCCCAGCAGGGTGGGCAAGGGGTGTGTGCCCAGCAGGGTGGGCAGAGAGGAGCAGAACCTGACCCTGAACAGCTGGGCTGCACTTGGGAGCTCCTGGAATGCCCAGAGCAGCTCCTGCTGCTGCAGCAAGAGCCCAACCCTCCCATTGCTGGCTCTGACTCACACTTCACTTTTGATCCCTCAGTGTCCTCACCAGCCCCTGGGGACAGCCCTGTCCCCATCCATCCATCCATCCATCCATCCATCCATCCATCCATCCATCCATCCATCCCTCACAGGAGGGGACAGCCCTGTCCCCATCCATCCCTCACAGGGCAGGGACAGCCCTGTCCCCATCCATCCGTCACAGGGCAGAGCTGCTCCTGTCCCATGAGCTCCTGCCACCACCCAGAGGGTGGCACCCCCGTGGGTGACAGGGTGGCCGTGGCTGGGGACAGCTGAGTCACCTCTCGGGGGGGTGTGGATGGCCCTGTCCCTCTGGAAATGTCACAGCTGAGATGAGATGGACAGACACAAAGGCCCTGCATGCTCTGTGCTCCGGGATGAGTCAGGAGCTGATTTTCCAGAGCAGGAGCAGCTCCTGGTGGCACTGCCAGTGTCTGTGAGGCCTCTGGGACCCTGAGAGCCACGCAGGGCTCACTCCCTCCTGCTTTTCTCTCTTCTGCTGCTGAGTATCTGGGCTCACAGAAAAGCAGGGAAGATCAGCAGGAAATGAAGAGATGCTTTAAATATTTGCTATTTCTTTAGTCTGCAATTTCTGCAGGTTCTCTCGTCCTCTCCTGTCCCTGCCCGCCCTGCTGCTGCCTCGCTGGCAGGGCAGGCTCTCACAGAGCTCGGCCACGCTCCTTCATGTCCTCCGTAAAGTCCTGGAGGTCGTGGATGAACTGCCGGATCTGGGGTGGGAGAGGGACAGGGACAGGGGCAGGGTCAGGCAGCAGTGGGGGCAGGAGGCAGAAGGGAGCCTGTCCCTCCTGCAGGGCAGGTGTCACAGAGCTAAGTGACAGGACAGGAAAGCACCAGAGTGTGCCTCTGTGGGGGAATGGAACCAAACCCTGGCCATGGCTGGACCTGCATCCCTGCACCCCTGAACCCATGCACCTTCAAATCCTTGCATCCCTGAACCCCTGCACCCCTGAACCCTGTATCCCCACATCCCCATATCCCCACATCCCTGCATTCCTGCATCCCCTGTCCCTGCATCCCCAAAACACTCTATCCCCATATCCCTGCATTCCTGCATCCCCTGTACCTGCACCCCCATATCCCTCATCCCCACATCCCTGCACCCATGAACCCTTGCACCCCAGCATCCCCATAGCCCTGTATCCCCACATCCCTGCATTCCTGTATCCCCTATACCTGCATCCCCACATCCCTGCACCCCCATATCCCTGCACCCCAGTATCTCTGCACCCCTGCACCCCTATCCATGCCTGGTCCCCACTCCCCTGCTCAGAGGGACAGGTTTGCCTGCAGTCCCCACCATTCCTGCCAGGGTCCCCAGGGAAGGAGGGGACTGTGCTGGGCCTGCGGGCTCCCCTCGCCCTGAGAGAGCCATTTATGGTGCATGTCCTGGCCAGGATGGAGCTGTGCTGGGCTGTGCTGGGCTGTGCTGTGCTGTGCTGTGCTGTGCTGGGGCTGTGCTGGGGCTGTGCTGGGCTGTGCTGTGCTGGGCTGTGCTGGGGCTGTGCTGGGCTGTGCTGGGCTGTGCTGGGGCTGTGCTGGGCTGTGCTGGGCTGTGCTGGGGCTGTGCCGTGCTGTGCTGGGCTGTGCTGGGCTGTGCTGTGCTGGGCTGTGCTGGGGCTGTGCTGGGCTGTGCTGGGGCTGTGCTAGGGCTGTGCTGGGCTGTGCTGGGCCTGGGGGCTCCCCTCGCCCTGGGGAGCCATTTATGCTGCGTGTCCTGGCCAGGATGGAGCTGTGCTGGGCTGTGCTGGGGCTGTGCTGGGGCTGTGCTGTGCTGGGGCTGTGCTGTGCTGGGGCTGTGCTGGGCTGTGCTGGGGCTGTGCTGGGCTGTGCTGGGGCTGTGCTGTGCTGGGGCTGTGCTGGGCTGTGCTGGGGCTGGGCTGTGCTGGGGCTGTGCTGGGGCTGTCCCTGGGTCTGTCCCACGTTACCATGTCCAGCTGCCGGTGGCTGTCCCCAGCTGCCACCCTGCCCTGCGGCTGCAGCCGGGTGCTGGCGGTGTGGAACAGGCCGTGGATGGCCATGGTGAGGGACCTCAGCTCCACGGCCTTCCTGGCTTGCCTGTCCTGCACCTTGGCCCAGCGCTCCTCCTGGGGACACGAGACACGTCCCAGCAGGGCGGCCTCAGCCCCAGGACCCCGCTGGGGACCCCAAATTCAGCCTCATCCAGGCTGGGAAGGACCTGGTGGGCTGGGGCTGGTGCAGCCCAGTGTGCTGGGAGCAGAGCAGAGCCAGGAGCCAGCCTGGCTGTGCTGCCCACCCTGCACTGCCCACCCTGGCACGCCCTCCCTGCCAGCCCTTCAGCACTGCCACTGTCACCTCCCTTCGTGACAAACCTGCCCCCACCCGGGCTGTCATGCTCCTCCTGCAGCCCTGGGATGGGATGGGATGGGATCCATGGGATGGGATGGGATGGGATGGGATGGATGGGGATGGGATGGGATGGGATGGATGGGGATGGGATGGGATGGGGATAGGATGGAATGGATGTGGATGGGATGCAATCCATGGGATGGGATCCATGGGATGGGACGGGGCACCTCCTCCCACCCCAAACTACTGCTGGCCCTGCCACGAGCCCCTGGCTGCAGGAGGAGCCAGCCCTGCCCCCCCAGCCCCCCCTGGGCACCCCTCAGCTCCTTACCCACTGCTGGATGTCACTCTGAGCCTGGTCAAAGGATTCCTTGAGCTGTACCAGGTCGTTCCTGCACTGGAGCATCTCAGCCTCCTTCTCTGCCCTGAGCTGCTGCTGCAGGGCCTTGCCCTGCTCCATCAGCTGCCGGTGCCACCACTGGGACTGCAGCAGGTCCTTGCGGGTCCTCAGCAGGGCCTTGTAGTAGCTGATGATGTCATCGATGTCACGGAACTGCAGCACAGGTCCTGGGGTCAGGGACTCCCTGCCCGGGGTCAGTGACACCCTGCCCAGACCTGCTTAGGATCAGTGACATCCTGTCCCGCCATCCCTGGGGTCAGGGACACCCTGCCCTGCCTTCACCTGTCCTGCTTCTCCTCTCCTGACCCTGCTCCCTGTGGCCCACCTTGGTTTCCCGGGAGCCCCTCCCAGCCCACCTGGAGTCTCTGGGTTTGGACAGGGGTTGATTTCCCTGGCCTTGCCTCCTCCCTCTGGCTCAAACCCTGAGCCACATCCAAGCTCACCTGTGAATTCTCTACCACATCCTCCAGGTACCTCTTGAACCGAGAGTACTTCAGCAGTTTTTTGGAGAGTTTCTGGTGCTTTTTTCTCAGGTCATCCAGTTCCCTCCTTGCCCTCAGGAGCTCACTCTCCTTTTTCGAATTCTCCGCTTTCTCTTGTTTGGCTTTCTTCAGAGCCTGGGTTCTCAGCCTTTCATTCTCCTGGGGAGCAGCACCCACAGCCAGAGGGGGAGGGAGGCACGGGATGGAGGAGCTGGGTCACTCAGGAGAGCCTCCAGGGAGGAGAGCCCAGCACTGGGGAGCACTCCCCTCCCTGTCCCTGTGCCACCCCCTGGCACTGTCCCTGGGCCACTCTCCTCCCTGTCCCTGGGCCACCCCCTGGCACTGTCCCTGGGCCACTCTCCTCCCTGTCCCTGGGCCACCCCCTGGCACTGTCCCTTTGGCCCGGGGCAGCACCTGGACCGGGCTGTGCCTTCCAGACAATCCCTCTCCCACCAGGGCACAAATCCCTGATCCCCACAGCTCAGGGGAGCCTTGGCGTTGGCGGGGAGTGCTGAGCCAAGGCTCCTCCCAGGGGAGAGGAGTCAGTGAGCAGGGGCAGTGTGCCAGCTGTGCCAGCTGTGCCAGCTGTGCCAGTAGTATCAGGTGTGCCAGGTGTGCTACATATTCCACGTATTCCAGGTGTGTCAGGTGTATCAGGTGTGCTACATGTTCCAGGTGTATGAGATGTGCCAGGAGCATGAGGTATGCCAGGTGTGCCAGGTGTATCAGGTGTATCAGGTGTGCCAGGTGTGCCAGGAGTGCCAGGGGTGCCAGGTGTGCCAGTTGTACCTTCACAGTGGCCCCAGATGTCACCACGTGGGCTTTCAGCTGGGCTCTCCTGGCGTGCAGGTCCCTCCACTGCTCAGCGAGGGTCTCCATCCTCTCCGCGAAGGCCTGGCAGCACCAGAGCTGGGGTGACACTGCTGCCACAGCCAGAGCCACCCCCCGCCTGTCCTGCCACCCTGCAAAGCCCCCCAGGCACGCCCCAGCCTCCTCACCTCCTCTGTCTCCTCCACAACCCTCTCCATCTGCCGCACCTCCTTCATCTTCTTCAGCACGCAGATGAAGGAGTTGGTGGAGTCCTCCTCGGCCGCCTGCAGCTCCCTGCCACGCATGTCCCCAGCTCACACGGCGTCCTGGCAGGCTGCTCCGGAGCTGGGCTGTGTCCTGGGGGCAGGCAGGACCCCAGCCCCACCTCGGGACCCCCAGCCCCACCTCAGAACCTCCAGCCCCACCTCGGGACCCCCAGCCCTCCCCTGCAGGGACCCCCAGAACAGCCGGGGCAAGGCAGGGGGTGATGGGGCGGGGACAGGAGCAGGTGAGGGATGGGAGCAGGGAAGG